AGCATAGTGGCTAAGACACTTGCCTGCTAACCAGACGGCTGGCAGTTCAAACCCACCAGCCACTCCTCGGAAGGAAGGTTGGGCATTCCTACTTCCTTAGTGATACTGCCTCGGAAACCCAAGGAGGGGTCGCTATGAGTCGGGGCCGACTTGACGGCATATAACAACAACAACAACAAAGCATAAATATTCAGCAAATGTTAAAACAATAGCAATGAAGGAGGTGATAACATGATTCACAAACAAAACGAACTCAGCATAGAAAATTTATAGAACAAAGAAATCGACGCAATGAAAAAGCACATGACAAAAATGACAGCAACAAATTCTTATTTGCTGATAATTACGTATCTGGTAAAGGACTTATCTCTAAGATTGGTGGAAAACTCCAATGCTGTTGTAGTTACCTAGTGCCGCTCTGACAAGAATATACCACAAATGGGATGGCCTTAACAAACAGGAGTTTATTCTTACAATTTGGAGGCTCTAAGTCCAAGTTCAAAGTGCCAGGCTCTAGGGGCTGGGTGAAAGCCCCTCAACCTTGGGGTCCAGCTCTGCCTCCTGCTCCCAGCCTACTGGAGCTAGAGGCATTTCTTCACTCAGACAGCTGCTGGCTGCTGAGGCTGAGAACCTCCCAAGATTGACAAATAAAAAGGCACAGTCCCAATGCCACCAATCCACATGGCAGGCCATTAACGTAAGCCCATTAAGTCCCAAGATCAGCAGAGCATAGCAGGCTGCTGAGCAATGAGATGGCTACACGCGGGGTCCAAGCATGCCATAGGCTAGAGACCATTCTCAAAGCTTCTCCTTATATACAGGAAACAGAACCACATACCCAAAGGCAGCTACTCAGCTGCTCATAGTAGATTCCACCATGGAGTTTATTACTAGTCTCATCATGGGGAATACTACATCCAGCTGCCCAGCCACTCAGCCAGGCCTAGCCAAGTTGACATACAAACATAACCATCACAAATGCCTCAACACCAAAGGAATTAACAATCCAATTGGAAAAAAATGGGCAGAAGACATGAATAGACACTTCACCAAGGAGGATATTCAGGTGGTCAGCTAATACGTGAAAAGATGCTCACAATCATTGGCCATCAGAGAGATATAAATCAAAACAACAATGAGATATACTGTCTCACCCCAGCACTGATGGCAAGGTTCAATGAAACAGAAAGTAACAAATGCTTGTGGGGATGTGGAGAGATTGGGACTCTCATGCACTGCTTGTGTGACTGGAGTGACACAACCACTGTGGAAAGCAATATGGCGATTCCTTAGAAAGTTAGAATTGGAGATACCATTTGACCCAGTAATCCCATTACTAGGTATACATCCTAGAGAGGTGAGAGCCAGGATAGGAACAGATACAGGCATGCTCATGTTCATCACAGCACTATTTGTTGTTGTTGTTATGTGCCGTCGAGTCAGCCCCAACTCATAGCGACCCCTCCTTGGGTTTCCGAGGCAGTATCACTATGGAAGTAGATTGCCCCATCTTCCTTCCGAGGAGTGGCTGGT